TAATAGGTACCTTTTGGAAACAGATGAAAAATAGATAAATAAAATGTCAGATTTGTGCAGAATGGAATATGACTAAGCCATAAAAAGTTTGAGTCATTTGTAGGAAAATGCCTGCACCATGAAGCAATAATGATAAGGGAAATAAATAGACACGAGTTGAATATTGCATAGTTCCTCTTATATGAGAACCCCAAAGTATAAAGAATTTAAAGAAAAAAATAAGATAGAAAAAAGGAATTCGAGAGATAGATCTTTTGCAAGTGGGAAGGGGAACAAGACAAGGAAGGGAAGTGAGGGGAGGAAAGGGGTAAGTGAAAAAAATTAAGGTGTGTTATGCACATTACCAAAATCCCATGAAGAATGTAATCATTATCTACTACAAATACATGCTAATAAAAACATTAAAACTTTTTAAAAATTAAAACTAAAGGTAAGCAATTCATTCAGCTTCCTCATGCTGACATATAGTAATTCTGAGACTATTTTGTGTCTTCTATAAAACTGAGAAAAGTAAATATATTGCTATTGTTGGGAAGAAGAGAAGTTGAATTTGCAGACTATGATAGTAGAAAAGAATTTGGGTGGGGGCTAGGGATTTAGCTCAGTGGTTCCACCACCTGATTTGCAGGCCCAAGGTCCCAAGTTCGACCCCCAGTACAACAAAGAATTTGGGTGGGACTCGGGATAGTGATACAACAAACTCATGATTTCTTGGACATCTTTGGTCAGGTTTCCCAGGAGACGAATGGAACTAGAGATTTGTGTCCAGAAGCTTATTGGATGCTCCCTGTGAAGCAACAACTACAAGGAAATGAAGGGACTGGGAGTGGACAGAAGCAGCTGAAATAAAATGCAGCTAGAACAAAGACTTGGGGTGATTCCCAGTGGCTTGTGGAGCCTGAATGGCCTTTCAGAGCTTCCGCACCTTAAGACTTGGGGCTGGATGTTTTTACCTATACATGGATTAATCATTAAATATTCACTGACCATGGATAAAGGTAGAGCACGAATTTATGAAAGGCAACCCACTTTACTTCATGGCAATTCCCCAAAAGTGACTCAAGTTAGAGCAAGAAGCTGCACACATTCCAACACAGCTGGGAGAATGTGGAAGGCACAACACAGTATCTCTGATGGTTGGTAACCATTCATCATGATATCTTAACTTGACTGAGAAATGTCCAGCAGATTAGTACAGTCTGTGAATAAACAATGTGTAGTCCAGCTGACTGAAGGGGAAAGATCCACCCCAAAAACAAGTGGCATCAACCAATAGGCTTGAAGACTAGATGGAATGAAAAATGGAAAAAAAAGGAAAGTTTGCCCATTTTGAAGAGTTCCAGTCTTCCTGAGTGGGGGCATCTTTTGCTGTTGTCACCTTCAGCCTTCAGACTCTCACTGGTGACCCTCCAGTGAGCTTTTGGTTCTCTTACTTTGGACTCATGATCCCTCTTGTTCTCCACTTTCCATCTTCTTCAGCTGAGCAATTACTGGATCCTCTGGCTCTCCAGCACACAGACAGCCATTGTGGGTCCCCACCTCTGATCCTAAAGCCTAATAAATTCCATTGCACAGTTGTACATTTCTGTTCTATTGATTCTATTCCTCTGCTGAATCTTAACTAATGCGTTCTGTGTCCAAAATGCCCCCCAAAAGGCCAACTATGTTGAGGGACAGTTGTCAGCTGATGGGGACCGGGGAAGGGATTGGATCATGAGGGCTATAACTCTATCAAACCACTTGGTAAATGCACTTGGACATTGTCTCTCAAAATTGGCCAGAATATGGTCACAATAATGGCAGAGTAGTGAATTCCAAATTATTTTTTCTCCACAAAAGCACTGAAAAACAACCCAGACCTGTTTGAAACAACTTTATAAGAACACGGGAAAACAGCCAAAAGATTATAGCAACCAAACAAATGTCCAAGCAAGAAAAAATATTCTTCAACTTGCTAGAAAGGCTGTGTGACGTCTTTAACACCATTGTCCCACTCTTCCCCAGTGCTATGGCAAACCACTTCCCAGGCCTCCTGACCCCCTCCAAAATAAGAGAGCACAGAGAACAGGCTGCTTAAATTTAGTGTGTATGTCTGCTCTAACCTTTCTGGAAGATACCTAAAAGATGTGAGTCTCTGTTTTGCACAAACACGAATGAAAGCAGACAAGGTAAGAGGCATTACTCACAAAAGGTATAACACATCTATGTGCACACCTAAGGATTACAGATGGAATCAGAATATCTAAGGCCCAGAGAAAAAGGTACAGTGAGAAATCTTCAAGAAATTAGAACTCAAAAGAGGACATGTATACAAAAGGGTGCAGAAAGCCAAACATAAGCCCAAGCAAGAAGCACACTCAGAAAAGTTATTTTTAAAACTTCAAGCAATCACTTTGGACCAAGTGGACCCTTGGACTGTTACACCAGGTAGCTAAGTAGGGAAGGAGCCTCCAGGCTGAGAGCTGATTGCAAAGACAGAGCAGGTGCCCTCTCTGGGTGCTCCCTCTGTGTTGGTGCTTCTTTGTTTCTTTGTTTTCTAGCCTAGCATTTAAAGAAATCTCTGTCAAACATGAGATCATCATGATAAGGGAAAGAAGTCAGGCAGAGAAAGACAAATACAACATGATCTCACCCATGTTTAGAATCTAAAATATTGATCCATTGAATTTGAGTGTGGAAAAGCAGTCCCAAACACTAGAGTGAAGGAGAAAGAAAAATGGAGAGAGGTTGACCAATAGATACTAAGGTACAGGTACAGCAGGAAAATAAACTCAGGAGTGCTATTGCACTCCACTATCGGGTGACTAGAGATGATGATGCTATGCCATATACTTCAGAAAAGTAAGAAGAAAGGTGTGGAATTGCTTGCATACCCAACGCATTGGTCAGTGTCTGCTCAGGTTGACTCGGGTGGGGGAACAGGAGACTACTAACTCCCAGGAGCAGGAACATCTTGAAGACAGGATGTTTCACCAACTCGAGCAGAGATGGGCCTTACTGGGAAAACAAGGAAGCTTCTGAGGGGACAATCAGATTGAAGTTAATAATTCAGCCAAACTGTCACCATACCTTGCTAACCTGAAACAAACCTTTGTGCTCAGGAGAGCACTATGTCTTTGTTGTCCCTCAATAAATCTGGGCATTTGAGTCAGTTTGAGACTTCATTTCGGTAGAGTCCCCCAACCCTCCACAGATATTCTCTGTCTCCCGTGTTTTCATTCATCTCTCTATCAGGGTTGCTGGTCCAAATCCAACAGAAAGGCTTTTTTTTTTTTAGTACTGGGGATTGAACTTGGGACCTTGTGCTTGCAAGGCAGGCAGCAGCAGCACCACTGAGCAAAATCCCTGGCCCTGCTTTGAAATATTTTTACCATAAAAATGATAAATGTTTGAGGAGATGATATGTTAACATGTGTGTGTTTATAGAGGTGCTGTGTGGGGGGAACACACCTGTAATCTCAGCACTCAAGAGACTGAGGCAGGAGGATTACCATGAATTTCAAGCCACCCTGGACTACACAGTGAGTTTAAGGCCATCCTCAACTATATAGCGAAATCTTAACTCAAAAAAATTAAAACAAAATATACGTATATTAATACATCACAAGGAACCTCATAAATATGTATAATTTGGGTGTTAATTAAAATGAAGAAATTAAATCATGCAGAAATACACTTATTTATCCCCCAGTGCTGTAATTTGAATGTGTTCCTCCATAAAGCAGTGTTGTACACATAATACACAACGCAACAGTGTTGAGAAGGGGACCTAATAAGAGATGTTTAGCTCATGTGGGCTCTATCCATGAGTGGACAATTCTGATTAAAAAGACCTGAGAATGCAAATTGCATCTCTTGCTCTCTTGCGTGCAAATTCTCTCTTGTCTTTCCATTTACTTCATAGGATGACACAGCAAGGAGGTGCTCACCTTACACTTCCAGGTCATCAGAACTGTAAGAAATAAATCCTTGATCTTTACAAATTTCACAACTTTATGTGCTCTGTTACGGCTGTACAAAACAGACTAAGAAAATTGGTACTGGGAAGTGGGACTGTGACCACAACAAATACCAGAAAATGTGGAAGCACCTTTGGAACTGGGTAATAGCAGAGAATGGAGAATTTGGAGGAGCAGGCTAGAAACAGCCCAGGTGATTATGAATGAAGCATTAAGGGCAACTCTGTTGAGTATTCAGTAGGATAGAAGTGTAGAGAAAGTGTGGAACTTGTAGTTGTGACCAGAATGCTGGCAGAAACATGATCAGAAAGGCCATTCTGACAAGGTACCAGATGAGACTGAGGAAGAGGATACTGGAAACTGGTGTAAAGGACACCCTTTTACAGCTGCTGGGAACCTGGAACTGTGTCAGTATCTTCGGGCTGCACAGAAGGTAGAACTCAGAAGTGATGAACTAGGTTATCTGGCAGAAGAAATTAAGCAGCAAAGCATTCAAGATGTGATGTGGAGGTGGTTTGTTGGGATGCTTGCAGTAAAATGACAGAAGAGAGAAATTATTTAAAAGTGAAATTTATAATTAAAAGGGGATGAAAGATGTGGGAAATTCTCTGCTTTCTCCTGCCAGGAGGGAAGAGACCCCTGTAGGAGAGCAAACAAAGGATGTGGCCTAGTCCTTTTTGCTAAGGACATTAGTGTGGACAGAAGGGACTTAGGGTTGTTCATCAAAGCACCAGGAAAACAACCCTGAAGACATTTCAGAGAGCTCTGAGCTGAGCCAGGACCCTGAGCACAAGGTTTTGTGAAAGGCATCCATTGGACCTCAGCATTCAGTGCAGAGGGCCACACCAGGGCTCGGTTTCCCCAGGACAAAGAGCTCCTCAGCGGCCCCAGCCACATCTAAAGCAGGCTGCCATCACCACAGAGGGTGAAACAAAGCAGTTTCCACCCATATTCCCCAATTATCCAGTTTACCATGTTGTCTTCGTCACATTTTGGATGCATTCCAAAGTTCAAAATATACACTATTGACTACAGTAAATAGTTGTTAATCTTATTCTCAAGTAAATATTACATAGCATGAAATGTTTAAATCTTTAACACACTTTTGAGGAGATTTGAAAGATTTATTAGCCCTTGTCAAGGAAGCATTCCATCACCCTAGAGCATTCCCTCAAAGCTCTGGCAATTCCTGGCTCTACTCATCCTGGGGAGCAAAGCAGCGTGGTTCGATCGCCCAGGCCTGCTGAGGGTTCTCACAGCATGGGCTGGGATGGCCCAGGCCTCCCTAGACTGACTGCCCACCAGGGAGAGCCGAGGGCTTGGCCAGCTGCAGCAGCATTGACAGGGCCACATATAGTGCAGACAAGGGCTTCTTGGCTTCCAGATGCCAGGTTGTCCGGGGGCTCTTCAGCTCCATCTTTAGGCCACACTCCTCCAGCAGGGCATAGGTGATGTGCAAGCCCTCGCCCTGTAGCGGGGCCAGGAGCTCAGCTGGGAGGGTGAAGGGGATGTTCCAGGGGTACTTGAAGTTTGGCACGAGGATGCTCCTTACCTAGAAGAATTATCAGATTTTACCCATCAACTTTGGGATCGGGGAAAGACACTTTCTGTCTCAACCTCCACGGACTGCTGAAGAGAAGAGGCCAGGGCTTTGGGGCCAAGCTTTGGTGTGACCAGGTCATTGTGCATTGGCTCAACATCTACAAAAAGGTGATAATAAGCTTACCTTGTAGAATAGAAAAATTGAGAGTCTATAATATGTACATACACATGTATTTCTATATGCCTATACACACATATGTACTTATAGGCACATATCAGGGGATCAAAAATGTTTAAATTTTTAAAATGTACAAGACACATTGCCATTAACCCTCTTTAAAATATTCCCCCTTGGAGGACCCCTCAGCACGCCTACCGGCAAGCAGCTTAATAACCACCCCACCTCTACCCTGGCTATGCCGCTACCTGGTTCCACACTACAGAGGCACAGCGGGGGCATAAAGGCCATTGTACTGAGCTGCAGAAGTAAACAACAGATAGAGACCCTCTCTCAGGCTTCTTGATGAAAACTGAAGCCCATTAGAAAAGTGAAGAGAATCTCTGCAATAAAGGCACACCAGATCACCATGCTTGGTAAGTTGGAGGGATCATCACCTCCCATTGAAACCTGGACTATCTTCGGGGGAAGGACAGCTGGAACCTGCAGTAGAGCCTTGCAGAGTTCAACCCTGCAGGAGGACAGGGAGCTCAACTTGGGACTTGGAGCCAGAAATCAGCCTGAATCTCACGGGTCTGCAACTAGCTTGCTGAAACTCATTGACTTAGATCTGCACACTGCTGCCCACATTGTCTATTATGACAGCAGAGACATACCCTGAAGGAAGTCCTTCATTTTTATCTTTTATTTATTTTCAGTTATTATTAGTATTTTTTTGCTCTTATTTTTTTTTCTACTCTTTTCAAATTTTTATTTTTCTTTTTTTCTATCTTTTCTCTCTCTCTCTCTCTCTCTCTCTCTCTCTCTCTCACTTGCTCTCTTGCTGTCCCATATTGTTCTTCATCTCCTTTTCTGTTCCTGTTCTAG